GCGTGCAGTCCTCCATATGTGATTCACACAGTCACAGGGGGGTGGAATCCCACCGTAGGCAACATGGAGTACAAGACCTGACCCTTACCCTGGAGGACACAGTGCAGCACAGGGCGCACACACTCACAATCACATGATAACTTAGAGATGCCAATAAGCCTAAGTGCATCTTGTTGGCCTATATAAGGACACCAGAACACCCAGAGAAAGTCCACAGGAAACAGGGGGGACAGGCAATCTCCACACACACAAAACAGGTGGGACTCAAATCTGGAACCCTGGAGGAGTTGACCCAGAGTGCTGCCCCAGGTTTGCTTCAAACTAAATAAAACAGATATATTGCAAACAGGGGAAGCCTATTGATCCGATATTTTACACAAATGTGAAAATAGCTACAACACCCTGACTATGCATTTAACTATGGATGGACTATGAATATAACATCTTCATAAACATTAATAAATATCTAATTATGACTGTATTTCATGTATTGTTGACATTACTCTCACAAACAGTAACTACAGAATGCTGATTTTTAAATATAAAACTAAGACAAACTTTTCAAATGTTAGAAATTGCGATATTCAGTAAAAAAAATAAAAATAAACTATAATTATAATTAATAATTAAATAGCTATGTGTATATGCAGATTTTTTTTTGATCAGTACAGATTATATTTAGATTATGTAACCACTAACTATTGAACATGCTGCATATTCATACGGTGGTTTTAAGATGGTCTATTGACTAGGACGTATAACGTACAATTCTGATCAGCAGCAAATAGAAAATTGCTAAGTGAGGTATATATAATGGCTCGCAGCATCCGTCCAATAGAATGAATGGACTGCAAATAGCAACCAATCACAGTTAAGTTTTTGGCGTATATAAAACAGAAGCAAAAGGCTTAATTTTGGACACCTGATTTATCCTTGGTGCGCTTGTTTCTGGGTCGGAAAAAGCTCCCTGTCGTAACCCAAAGAATAAACGCTTCAGCTAAGGTAATGCGTTTTTTTTATATGTATGTGTGCGCATAAATGATGTTGGTTATGCTGCACTAATTCGAGCTCAAACCGCGGTTTTTAAATGCTTTTTGAAATCGCAGAACATTTGTTCTCAACGATGCATGACGATCTTTAGCTAAACAAAGAAAATCTTTATGCACGATTGCAAGCCATCTTCACTATTAAAGACCTTCGCTTAAATAATTTTTAACAACGCAGCAGTAAATTTATGTACATTTCACGTTCCTTTGATTAACCCATGAGAATTTAAAAACTGTGCAAAATGACTAAATTGGTTGTTGGGTTGCTGGCTTTAAATGCTTTAGATAATAGAAATGCACGTATGAGGAATCGCAGTCTGTATCCTGAACGACCTTGCCATGTATTCTTCCCGCAAGGTCTCCTGTGCCACCATCGATTCCTGCGCAGTACGCAGTTTGCATTGCAAGGCTTACTATAATGGACTATTGTGCCTCCATCTTATAGTATATGCGTTTTTCATGTGCGTCAAGTGATCGACTGAGATATTAAGTAACGAATTTCAATTACGTCTGCCGATAAACTAATAGTTAAAACCAGTGAAGCGAGAATATTGGGGGAACAATGCGTTTTGACGGTGGACGGCATGCACTGGGATATGGTGCTGACTCTTTGGATCGGGTCTCTGATCTGAATATTTCACCTTCGTTTTGAACTCAGGTGAAAGCAATCATGCCTTTTAGCAACACCCACAACCTTATGAAGATGAAGTTCTCCGCGGAGCAGGAGTTCCCCGACCTCAGCCAGCATAATAATCACATGGCCAAGGTGCTGACTCTGGAGATGTACGAAAGACTTAGGGAGAAACAGACTTCCAGCGGATTCACGCTGGATGATGTCATTCAAACTGGGGTAGATAACCCAGGTAAGGCGCTGCATCCACCCCCCCTACCAAAGCCATCTGTTGTGCCGCCGCATGCTCTCATGCTGCGGCTTAATGTCTGTAACGCTGCGGGCTTCTTGGCGCACTTGTAATGACCTTGTCAGAGGGTAATGCTGATAACGCATCTGGTGTAACGATCCGAACTGGACGATTATTGCCTTGTTTACAAAAATATGATCTATGAAGGTTTTAAATGCAGTGTGGGTTTAGTTGTGTTAATTACATTAATATTCATAAATAATGCATCATGAGTTTTTGAAACTCCTTTCCCTTTGCAAAGGTCAGGGGAGAACTTAATGGATATTAAGTTACAAATACTCTCCATATTTTGCTGACTCACAGCAGTTCAGGTGCACTGCATTGCTGCAGTGGATGCAAAACTGATTTCTGATTACGTGGAGAAAATGCATAAATTGGCTCTAACTACATTTCTGATGGAACAGGACCACCTTAACAGGAAAGACTCATTACCTTTCACCTTGATGTAGGAAGATATTGATCAGTTAGGTTGCTGTTTAAGTTTCCTGGAACTGTATCGTGATTATAGGTATGTAAGCATAGCCGAGCTAGGTACTGACAGGCACGGTTCTGTACTCTTCCAAGTCCCTATAGGGTCTGCTGGTGAAATGCAGATAGGGAAGGTACTGATGCTTGCATCAATGTTGCAGGCAACACACACTCTAAAATATTATTGTAAATATTGAGTAGTGTAAAATGACTGTTCCTTCTAGGACACCCTTTCATCATGACTGTGGGCTGTGTGGCGGGAGATGAGGAGACCTATGATGTCTTCAAGGAGCTCCTGGACCCAGTCATTGAGGACCGGCATGGGGGATACAAGCCTACAGACGTGCACAAGACTGACCTGAACCCAGAGAACTTGCAGGTGTGTTTGTCGTTAGTGTTACTCTTGGTGAATTGTGTGGGCAGAAAGATAGCTCTTAACCCAGTGGTTTTTCTCAGGGTGGGGACGATCTGGACCCTAATTACGTCCTGAGCTCTAGAGTCCGCACTGGCAGGAGCGTCCGTGGGTTCTGCCTGCCACCCCACTGCAGCCGTGGGGAGAGACGTGGTATTGAAGAACTTTCCATTAATAGTAAGTGTTTCACCTTATGCATGGATACTGTCCTCTAGTGGTGCTATGGGGAAATTGCAACTTTGACTCTTGTACATGGTGGTTGATCATCAAGATGATGTACTTCTCTAGGCTTAAGTTCTTTGGAAGGTGACCTAAAAGGCAAATACTACGCTCTGAAAAACATGACTGATGAAGAGCAGCAGCAGTTGATTGATGACCACTTCCTGTTTGACAAGCCAGTCTCTCCTTTGCTGCTGGCTTCTGGGATGGGCCGAGATTGGCCTGATGCTAGGGGAATCTGGTAAGTGGCCTCGCAGAACAGAGGGTGCCACTGAGGATATCTACTGACTGAAAGGACTTGCAGTGCTCAGTCTTGGGACGTTTGCTTAATTCAGTAAAAAATGTTGCAAATTTATTGGATTCTTAAGTCCATTGACAAGCAATGTCTGAAGATCTGTGCAGATGTGGTAAACATTTTATTAGCTGTGTTTTTTTTCGTTTAACTGTTCTTATTTTGCTATTAATTGCAACTGCCCTTCCCTTACAAAGGGATATTAAACACAAAAATGTTTCTTGCAAAAGAGTTGCTAAACAAAAAGCACCCAATGAGTGTTTGTCAATGAACTAGCACTAAACTACTGTAGAACTAATTTGGGTTAATTTATTGCTACTTGACATGGTCTTCCATAAAACCACTGGTTTCTAATGTGTTTTTACATGTATAGTAAAAATTGTGCAGATGTAAATTTTTCTTGTCAATGGACTTGGGAGCCAATAAACTTGCAATTTTTACTGAATTAGGCAAGTGTCCCAAGACTGAGCACTGTAAGCTTCAGCACCTTAATCTGACTACCTAATGGAATGTAGAAAGGCATGAACAGACTGAATTGGTGGTAGTGTACATGGTGGCCTTGCTTAAAGGGAAAACCATTTTCTCCTAGGCACAATGACAACAAGACCTTCCTAGTCTGGGTTAATGAGGAAGACCATCTGCGTATTATCTCCATGCAGAAGGGAGGCAACATGAGGGAGGTCTTCAACCGTTTCTGCACTGGCCTCACAAAGGTAAATCATCTGGATGGTACCACTGGATGGTCTTAAGTAAAACAGGCTGAGTTGTTCATTTACTGTCTTCAGATCGAGGGCCTTTTCAAGGAGAAAGGCCACGAGTTCATGTGGAATGAGCATCTGGGCTATGTGCTGACATGCCCCTCCAACCTTGGCACCGGCCTGCGTGCAGGTGTCCATGTCAAGCTGCCAAACCTCAGCAAAAATGACAAGTTTGGGGATATTCTCAAGAGGCTAAGGCTCCAGAAGCGTGGAACAGGTGAGTAGCTGGAGCTCCTGCAACTTGGGCTTTGTGGCGAGTGAGTTTTGACTCTCAAGGGCTGTTTTTCTGCAAACTAAACTGCTTCCATTGAGGGGATTTACCCAAAATAGCTTCATCTTGTGCTCTTAGGCTTAGCACCAGTGCTTTTAACTAATTGAAGGAAAACCCTGGAGAGGAAAATGACTGTCTGGTTTTCTCACCATTTCCAGGTGGTGTTGACACTGCTGCAGTGGGTGGCATCTTTGATATATCTAATGCTGACCGCCTAGGCTTCTCTGAGGTGGAGCTTGTGCAGATGGTGGTTGATGGTGTGAAGCTGCTGGTGGAGATGGAGAAGCGTCTGGAGAATGATGAGTCTATTGATGATTTGATGCCTGACCAGAAATGAACACTTACTCCCTGAGCCCTTGTCGACCTGCCCTGTACCTTCCACTCCCAACTTTGCTCTGTAAGATCTTAACTACATCAAGGAAATCACTCTAACTTAGCGGCACTCAAGTAGGATGAGTCTTCCATCAGTGTGATTGAGGATTTTTGTATCAAACATCTTGCAGCGTTGAGGATGGCTCTTAACACCTGAAATAAAGCTCTTCAGTCCATGGACTTCTGCTGTTCTTGAATGCAGTGCTATTTTTGTAATGGCTGAGACCCAATTCATGAACAACTCCAATACCACTTGTTTATTAGATTAGAGCAAACACTACCAAGCATATTGGTTAATTTACAAGGAAAATTGCTTCTACAAAATTTCCTGTGAAACTTGAGGCAAATACTGTTTTTTTTTTTTTTTGTTTTTTTTTGCTTTGAAAGTGAGCATGACGACACCAACCCTGCTGTTGTAAAAATCGTTTCAGAACTTCACAATGGTAAATAAGAAATGCAGTTAGAAGCTGTTCTGTGAGAAGCTGTTTAGTTCTAGTACTAAATCAATTAAACATCCTAACAAATTAAATGTCCTGGAACCAGTATAAAGAACTAAAAGGTATCAATATACAGTTCTCATACTAATTGTCCCTTACGAACAACACATCATTGCTCTTAGCCTGCTGGATCAGGATCAAGCATGTTTTCTGAACTCTTCCTTTTCAAAAACTTGTCCATGTTTCCAACATCAGAAGCATCTCTCCCTGAAGTGGGCACTAACTGAATTTATACTTCATAATTTGAGGACAGTCAAGTGTCATGGAAATATCACTACAGCTAATAACTACAATGTAGCAACCAGGGGTAGAAAATATGGTACCACCTCTTGGAATGGAAGCCCCACATCAATTCAATGCATCTTTTAAACTGCACATTTCAGAACGGTTGCCCACAAAGCACTTAAAATGGGTCAAATCTGGCCCATGGATCTGCTGGCATCCCCATTAATATAATGCCCCCCTAATGCCTATGCCAAACAAAATATTCTGCAGGCACCACTGACTGCAACACAGTAAACTTTGGGATACTAAATATGTTACGGTGCCCTATAATTGAAGTATAAACCAGCTGAGTGGTGACAGTTTAAAGGTGGCTTGTCACCTGAAAGCTCTAAAGATCCCCATACCTGCCCAAACACTGGTCTTACTGGAGTAAGGGCCTGTAGGGAAATAGATCAGAGAATATCTCCATACCAGACGTTCTGTCATGGTTTTGGACACCTTGAAGACAGGGAAACTATTCCTTGAATGGTTAAAATATTTATCCTCACATGGCTACATAGACTGTCTTAATATTTATAAACAGCCACTTCTGGAATATCTTAAGCCATAATGCATTTGTTTATTTTCACTTTATGATTCATCTTCCTTATTCACAGGATACATGTTCCTAAATGGTCAATAAGCAGGGAAAGGCACATACAGGCAATATATCCTGTACAATAAAAAATACACATTGAGTCAAATATGACAAGATTAAATCAGAAAAGCAGTTCTATGGTTTTATAACTACCTGCACATATATAAGTAAGGCACTGGGAGACATTGGCCAGTAACAGAGCTCCACATTGCCTCTGTTGATTATATGACAATTTAGTCAACTATAAAGTACAACTTAGCAAACATGAGTCAAACATGCCTGCTGATCCTTTCGACTAAGTCTATTAAAATCTCCACTGACTTGCCTGGCACCCCCTCTAATCACAGCTGCGTTCTGTGGGCTGGGTGTCCCTCACTCGTGTCAGTCTGTGGTGACTGGGGACCCCAGGACAGGCAGACTGAGTGAAATGCAGGTAACCATTACCATTACATTTACATTGTATTTAGTAGATGCTTTTGTCGAAAATGGCACATGAGTGAGGACTGGACAGCAGGGTGAGCCAGTGTCCCTCGAACAACTGGAGTTAAAGGCCTTGCCTAAGGGCTTGATGGTGACATCACTCTGTTAGCCACGGGATTCAAGCCCACCACCTTCCCATCACCCACAGAGCCACATGCCACTCCTTAACCCATCACATCTAAGGTGGTGCATTAGTGAGGCTTTGTTTCTTTGCACACCATGGATGTTATGCTTTGAGGGCGAGACATACGATCAGGTTAATTCCTCATGACACAATTGGTAACAATATGAGCATTAAATAAAAATGTTGTTATATTCCCCAGTCATTACCTACAAAATAAGTCACTATGAAAACTTTATGTTTATCTGATAGCTATATCAGCACAAGAAAATCTCTGTAAGAACCATTTGCGAGCATTGCTCTGCTCTATGGTATTTGATAGATCAATAGCAGTTTTACAAACTTCACAATGAGCTTTTCTGTTATCTACTCTTAACACCCAACATTTGAAGTTATCATTTTGTAGCCAAAGCTCTTGAAATTTACATGTTCTTGGCACGTTTGCCTTCATTAGCAGGCACAGAACACTGCACATCTTGACTGAAGTCACTGCCAGGTGTTGGGCACCGAAAAATTAAGTAACCAATAACAACCGAACACGCAATCAAGGAAATGTATGAAATAACCTGATAAAGAATAATACTGCATGGAGACTATTATATTTTTGATGAATGGCAACTAAAACATCTACAAACAAAATTCCCTGGCATTCTATGACTTGACCCAAAAAAACAATGAAATCTCCTGACTTTCTATACCTGCAATAGATTTTTTACATTCCATTATATTCTAGAAATTGCATGACCTGTGGGAACCATGCCGAAGTTCCCCAGTCCCAGTCTTTAAAAACCATAGAATGGGCCGATTTTGAACAAGGCTATGAAGTATAAAACCACAATAGTCATCCCAGGACAAGTACCAGACTCAATGACAGAAGAAGAGGATCAGCCAATCAAGCCTCAAAGACAAAAAGGTGCTTTTATAAGTAGCATTCCTGCAGTAACAATACACAAGTCTGCATTTGAACCACATATATTTCTGGATGGATTAGAGTACAATTACCCAATCCAGGTGGCATCTCCAGTGTTGGTGTATACAGTACACAGAGAATTTTCATGAAGCATTCAAGAAGTTACAAATATGTGCTTAAAGCCTGCGCTCTTTGCATGAGGTCATAAGGTTAACAATGCGAGTTACTGAATGTTGACTTTCTGTAGGGACCTTAAGGCAGTAACGGCCTGTGCGACACATTGCTTTCATGCTGACTGACCCCTGCCTTCTGGTAAATGATGCCTCCCATTGTAATAGAGCAGCTTAAAGGTGCCGCTGTGAGGGGCTAGAGTACCCCAGTATGCACTGGAGGGTAATGGAAGGCCAGGCTGGGGTATCATGCTCCCAGTCAGCCTTTGGCTAAACTGGCCTTGATCAGCTCATATTAACTCAGGGCTTCATTTCTTCTTTAACATTGTTCAGCTAAATTTTTGTTTTATGCAAAGAATCCCTGTAAGAGTGGAAACAGGAAAAAAAAAAGTCAGTTGCATTTTAGCTAATAAAATTCAGCAATAACCCTACATAAAATATATATTTCCAGGGTAATTAACTGTGTCCGAGTTGAATATGATTCATTATTCAATCATTTTTTCTTAAAATAAGAACATTTTTATTATTGAAAAAAATAAGACCTACATACATATACATTTTTATTAATCTTCATACCATTATATAATATATTCAACCATAAATCTGAACATGAACAAAAATCATTTTAATTAGCGCCTTCACTATTACTGGATTTAAATGTTACCATTAAGTTGGCTAGCAGCGCCATCAAAGCTGATTAATCCATCGTACCATGCTGCCCGCGGAGCTGCCACTGTTGTTATGGGAGAGCAGAAGACCGTGCCGCTGCTGACCTTCTCCTCCCACCAGGCTGATCTCACAGACACCGAAACCTGCTGGTTTTAAGGAGTTCCTGCAACAGGGCTCACCCTTCTCTGGTGACAGGTTACACTTTTATCTTTCAGCTCTTATAAAAAGAGAGAGAACAGTGTGACGCAGGCGGGCAGAGTGTGCCTGGTTCAGCCCGAGCATCCTGGCAGGCCTAGCAGGATGCAGTGGCATTACCCTTATTTTACTGAGAGGGTCCCAAAAATAAACAAAACACCCCCACCAGTGATACTCATAATACTCATATCAACCAAGACATTAAAACCCACTGACCTCCAGAGGACAAGGAGGCCGCACAGCTCAGGCCTATAGTGCCCAACGCCCCCCACCTGTGAGTATGACGGTGTAGCCTCAAAGTTATCCCTGTCCAATGATTTATGAAATAATTTTAATTATGTGCAGAATCTGCCTGCTCCTCCCTGCATCCAGTAATGTCCGGGAGGTCCTTCCTTACAGGTTAGGCTGAGTGGCCGTGTTTTGCCTCCATGACTCCATTTAACATCACCTGACTGGCTTCTTTCAGCCAACCCTGTACAACCACCACACACCAGGATGGGGGGTGAGCCCCTGAGGCCATGGCTGTCTCTCACCATAGTGCACTTACAAACAGCGGCTCATTCCTTCACACTTCATCTTACTCAGCAGTTTAACAACTCAAAGGCAACAACCACAATCATAACAACCACAATAGCAATAGTAATAATACCATTTTGACGCTGAAAGAAATTATTGCCTAACACATTGTATACAATATTTTCAATACATAATTTGTGAATGTCCTGGAGAAAACTGCTACTTGGAGGATGTATAGCTAATTTTTTTCCATAATCTTTTGTCTCTTTTTTTGTTTCATTTTCATAGTTTTAATTCATTGGCAATTTTGGAAGCGATGTTCTTGAAAGCGATGGAGGTCCCCGATATCCGCTTGAAGCGCACACCGTTAAGCGAGAGGCGGGGCAGTTTGCACACCTCCATCTCCCATTGGACCAGAGTGTCGACGTGGGCATGCCCATCACCATGGACGCAGAGCAGCAGGAATCGCTCGCGCTGCTCGTAATCGCAGTTGTTGGCATCCAGCACCTTGCGGATCTCGCGCATGATGTCGCCGGGCTCCATGGCACTGGTGGTCTTCATACTCCAGGTGAATCGCAGGGAGCGAGGCTTGCTGTCTTTGTTTTCGTCTTTTTGATCCCCAGATACATTGCGACTGAAACGGATTAGGAAGAACCACAGAGAAAATCAGAGAAAACAGAGGTGTGTGTGTCTGTGTCTGTATATGTGTGTGTATGCAGCTACCAGTACAGATGCATAATGTGTGCGATTAACCAGGCAATGCACTAGGATCAAATACATGAAATACACTGCAATTTTACCATATGGTTACATGAAACCATGAAAAAACCCATTCATTCATGTCGCAACTTGGAAAAGGGACTGTGATTCAGAAATCCATGCTGAAGCTAGTTATTTCACTGCGTGTTGTGACCAGAGCATGCATGTCACTCTTGTCAGACATGCAGAAGACAGGTAACGCCACATTTGGGTCTTGCATGCGAACACAAATCACAGGTAACTTGTACAGTCAGACCCAACCTCAAAGGGGAGGGGAGACTGGCAGAATAAGGTTACAGGGAACTGACCCATGTGAAGAATAAAGCTAAAAGCAGGACAGTGGCCCCATTTGAAACAGCTGGCAGAAGCTGAATTTGTTACCAATTAAAATTTATTAACTGTGTTTACCACTAGGGGTCAGTAAAATACAGTCTCATCATAGTCACTGCTATAGAATGCTGCCCCCAGTGGTGAAACCATAAATATAATACTCAGTGATACAGAAAAGGTGCTAGTGGAGCAGCACTGCTAGCTCAGCTAAAAAGGAGCCCGCAAATGCATTAACACACACAGATACGCACATTTTCAATATTTATATTTTGTACTTGTGCAGCAGACAGAATTATGGTTTCGTGACAACCTTGCAGCTTAATGGTCTAAAATGGGGTCTTATTGTTACCACAGAAAGTTACATATTACCTCAAAGACACACATCTGCATTTAGATACAGACTGACAAACTGATTAGGTATGAGACTGACCACATCTATTAAACAACTAGTACATAATATACAGGTACCATAGCTGCAAGCCTTACTTTTTAATATCTCCTGGTGTTTTTTTAAATCAATGTTGAACGGCAATAACTAGACCAGCTATGGGGAGGGCTTCTGGAGAGGCCTGAACCCCCCCAGAAGAGCCCTGACACATCTGTCCAGCAGCAGAGGATGATGGGACAGGAAGGTTGTGCAGGGTGCAGAAACCTAGGATTTGAGCAACCTTCCTCACCTTGAGCCCTCAAATCTGCTGTTTCTCTCAAACTCGGTTGGGACTCTTCATTGAGAGAAGATGAAAGCACGCAGAAACAGGCACAGGGATGGGGGATGACAGAGCCCAGGAGATGGAGGGAAAGAGGGAGAGGGGGAGAGAGAGAGAGAGAGAGAGAACACAAAAGCTTAAATTACAGTAATGGCAAAAGACATTTCAACAGTAGAGAGAGGAAGCAGACAGGCAGTTTACAGAGTTAGAAAACCAAGAAAGCTACCAGCCAGTCCGTTCCCCAAGGCTGCTCATGTCCACATCATGGGGGCCTAAATTTGGACAAGTGCCTCAAATGATGCAGGACGTAACAGGTTTCTGAGTGATGGGGAATAAGGCCCCTCCCTCATGTGACCTGTAATGCCTCCACATGGCATGCTCTGGCTCATGGCAGATTCAGAAAGGCTTTACTGGGTACCATGATCGCACTGGTCAGCATAGCTGGCCACCACTCTTTCTTGCTTCTTTAACTGAAGAGAAACAGCACAGGAACAATGTCTGGACAGAAAACAGGGGGCACTCTCTACACAGCTACACCAAAACAGGTCGGTGTGAGGCAACGCTGGTGCACATGTCATATACAGCCATCTCACCAGCACACAAATATATACATACACGTGATACATGTAAATGAACGCACTTGCACGCACAGAAAGAGAAATACGTACACAAACTCACCTACACGACACACGTAATATGACTTTATATTCATGCAAAACCTTCAGTAGCAACTCTGTGTGCATCTCATGCAGTCTGTGGGGGTAGTGTCAAGGTGGGGGTCAGGGTGGAGACAAGTCCACATTAAAGCTATGGCCGAGGCACCGGTAAGGAAAAGCCTGACCATGTCTGGGAGAAAGTGGACACCAGAAGGTGTGGGAACCAAAACTATATCATAGTCATGCACTGACTATATTTCCCAGAAGGCTTTGCTATGCATGTCATGTGCCAAGAAGGGATCTGGGTTTGCAGCTTGGCCACATTAACACAAGCCACAACCCATGTTATCCACTGGCTCCGTATGAGCCAGAGGGTTCTCCAGCACCATCAGCAGGGCCACCTGCCCAGAGCATGAGCAGGTATGCCAGGGACACTGAAGGGATTCACTGGAGAGACTCAAAGCAGCACCTCCGTGGCATGATGACCCCGGAAAATGAATCCATCCCAATCATGTGACCATTGCGACAATAAAGGTACCCGGCGGCGCACACAGTCAGTCATGGAGGGCAAAGAAGGTGACGTGTTGTCTTGGGACACGTCGTCTGCATGGAGGAGGCATGCAAAAAAAAAAAATGGGCCTCTTCATGGAGAACAAATCCCAACATTATCCTTAGCCATCCCACCTAAAAATGACCAGATGTGTGACTTCTGTTCGGCCACTTGGCCGGAGTCTGCCAGGCACGGGGGGGAGGGGGGCCCATTCAGCTATAGTGCACTGCACTGTGTTCTTGGTGCACTTGCCTAGTATGTGGCTCTATGTTTGTCAGTACCGGACTTCAGGCCCGCTAACAAGGCCATGTGACCGAGAGGTGCCAGGGCTCTGACAGTGGGCCTTGATCTGTGACGGTAGGGGTTCATGCAGATGTCACAGAGGCCATAGATGTGTGCCTGCCATCTATCTGGGGGGGCTGGAAACACAACCCCAGCCCAAATTCAACAGATGTTGTCGGCGCTGGTGCAAGAATGGGTTCCCTTACTCTAGTTTTCCATCTCCGATTTTCTACAACTTTCTATATCTTCTGCTCGTGAATCTGCAAGAGATGAATTCTGAAAGAAGTGACGAGTTTATTGGTATGACCAAAAGAAAGAAGAAAAAATAACAACAGAAAGTAAATCTCGATGCAAGACATGAGGACAAAAAACCAATGTTAAAAATGGAGGGACAGGTGGGTGGAGTGGACTTACTAAGGGTCTTGGTTCCTGGGCCGGGGGGGCAGGTAGGCCCTGATTTGTTGGAGGTCTGCCGTTTGGATGGGTCAATAGTGACCCTGGGGAGAGGAAGAGCGGAGAGTTAAAGTGCACAGGCGAGACACAGCGAGCAGAGGGGGAGGTCCAGAACACATGAGTCCACTAACTGGCGTCAGCCAAGGCCAAGATCAGGGGATGGTCCACGATGACCGGCACAACCAGGCAGGACACCACGCACTATGAACAAGGTGTCTTGGACCATGTTTCGGAAAGAAGAACGTGTTCCACTGCTGGGGGTGGAGAGAATCCTCAGACATTAGAAGGCCTAAGCAAGAACGAGAACTACAGAGGAAGTGACGGCAGCATGAACCCAGGCGTGCGGGTGTGGCAATAGAGGCTGTGGGGGGCCGACCGGAAGTGCATGTGGCCCCGTGTGGCAGGTGCCTAGATGGCCACTGCAACCGTGGAACCTTGGTTCGGAGAATCAAGACATGACTGGAATATAGACATGATCTTTTTGGAAGTAACGCTGGGGGCATATCAGATCCCTAAAGACACGCAGCTCCCAGCTAACATTGTGATTTAAGTTTAATAAAAAATAACTAGTGACTCCTCTGTTCAAAGAAGAAATCAGCTGACATCCAATGACAGCACAGTTGCAAATGCACCAGGAAACGCATGGATGGTGACAGTGAGGGACAGACAAAGTACAGGAAGTGAGATCGCCTAAATGCTTGCAGAGGGTACTGCCGTTTTAAAGCAGGGCTGTTCCTTGGGCTCCACCAGGATCACAAGGTGGCACATACACTCACCTAAAGGATTATTAGGAACACCTGTCCAATTTCTCATTAATGCAATTATCTAATCAGCCAATCACATGGCAGTTGTTTCAATGCATTTAGGGGTGTGGTCCTGGTCAAGACAATCTCCTGAACTCCAAACTGAATGTCAGAATGGGAAAGAAAGGTGATTTAAGCA